GCGGCAGCGGTTTCCATTTCCTTCAGTTTTTAGAAGGTTGGCTCAGCACTCTGATAAGTCGTTGCAGATTTTATACTGTGCTTTCAATTTCACAGAAAAGAGACTCTTTCTTTTGTCGTTCTCATATGCATTTTTGAAGGTTTTCTATTCTGACATGGATGGACTCGAGGGTATTGACCGAGCTGGAAGAGTTCGACTCAGTGATTTCTTTGACGAGGATGTGTAAGTTTCAGTTCTTTCAGTCTTAAGTTAAGGCAATGGTTTTTCGTTCCGTTTCCCTGTATCGAAAGCTCGTTCTCTTTCAGACAGCAGGACAAATCTGTTGATTCTCTGAGGTTATCGCCTTTGGATGAACAGTGTTGGATGGATCTCGAACCTTTCATCCATCCTCATCCTCATCGTGTTCCCCTCAACGCTTCCTTGCCGTTTATTTTTCAACTATTCCGAGGACTTGGATTGCGTTTCCTCGCTGTCGTTAACGATGATAATAAGGTATCATTCTGGATAACAGAACCTTGACCTGTTTATACTCTGCTTTCCAGCTACGCGGTATCATCACTCGAAAGGACGTCGCTCGATTTAGAGAACGCCGTTCGAATAGAAAATATCAAGTCCAGGAATTGTATATTGCTGAAGATAGAACGAATTGAGGTGACGAACTGATATGTGTTTACGTTTACTTGTAATGACCGGTGTTGAGCTCTGCTTCTGACTTTGTGATGCTTTTGTTATATTACTGGGTACATATCGACCATTTGCACACTTTCTCACTTGCCATCATGATCTGGTTAACATCTTGCATTCATCTCCTACCATAACACCTCATGTAACCATACTAGCAAAATCTAATAGTGTTTCATTTCTAAAGTCGAAGATTTCCATCCATTCTAGTCCGCTCCGTTTTATTGGTAAGTGCTGAAGGGTCGTTATTATTTACAATTTGTGTATTTTGATTACGTGATAACATCGTTGCCTTACATGCACATTGTAATAGTTTCCAGAATTGCAGTAAAAGTTGTTATTTTCGGTCTTTTATTTGTATTATGATGTTTAATATCAACATCTATTGTTATTTTTGCTTTTTCATATGCAGTTTTCTTTGAATTTCCTGTTCAAGAGAACGTTCTTCGAGCTTGGTCATAATTTGCCGCATCTGAAGGTGAGGGTGAGCACGTTACACTCGGTACGTAAAACAAGTTATACTTAGCATAAGTTGTAATAGTAAATGCATCTTTTTTCACCTTCAGGAATGTTGATTCCTCTGCTGTATGCGGTAATAACCGCATGCGTCGCCGAGTGGTTAGTGGATTTGGAGTACTCATTGAATAGTAAGGTTATATATTTCTTTTATAATCTTTCTTTTGTAATGGAGTTATTAATCTGTTCTAGATTTCCAAGATGTTTATCCGCTTGGAAAAATTGAACTACGGCGATCGTTTGATGGTAACTATACAGCAACGTTTCGAGCAACTACTGGTAATCGCCTGGGTGAACGAATGACAGCTGATCCATCATCTACATATCAAGTATTGGCGAAAAGCTCGACATATCCAAAAGACCAGTTACTATCATCCACTAAAACGGTATGCTTTCAAGCATTTGAAGTTACTGGTAAGTGGGTTGAGTTGATCCCATAGCTCACTGAGTCATGACTGGCCCGGCTGTAGTGATTTCACCAACTCCATTACTCTTACTCAGTTGTAGAATAGAGGATAGTCTTTTACAATAATCATTCCCGTCTTGAAGTGCGCTCGGGCATTCGACTCTGTTTAGAATCGTTGTAGCTTTTGAATGTGTATGTGGCCTATACAATGGCTTTATGTGTCCAGTAGAAGTCGAAACTAGTGCTTTTGTCCTCTTAGACGAGTCTTTTATCAATTAGTCGTCCTCAGAGGAACGGAAGGCTTTACTGGCCTGGTATATTGATTTAAGGTTTCGTTTCCCGGCCCAGGTATGTGTGCNCTTCGACATAGATAAGCCCAATTAGTTTATTTTTCTTTTTTCCAGTGCTTGTTGCTGCAGTCGAACCTGTTTCACTATTTCTGGCTGTCCATCGATGCGGAACGGCAACTTGTTCAGTCGTTCACAGTATTTCCCGACATAGTGGCAGCTGGTGATAAGCCACTTGATTCGAATTCGGACTGTGCACAGGTGGCCATTTCGAGCTCGACTCAGCCAAGTGCTATTGTGCATGTGAACACCAAAGGAGTTTTGCCAACGTAAGATTAAACTGCAGTACTTTTGACATCAGGAATTCTTCAATAGTTCTATTACTTTATTCCTAGGCCTGATACTCAGTTGTTCGTCCAAATGATGGAACGAGAACGACGAGCTCGACAGCATGGAGCAGACGCCGATGATCGTAGTTTCTTGGCAAAATATGTGAGTATCTAGGGTAAATTATGTTCATGGTTCAGACGCTCGAGTGAGGTGTGTATAACTCACTACCTTACGAGAGCTTAATATGAAGGAGTCTAGGGCGAATTGTTATTTTCTTGTTTATTTTTGCTCCTCAAGTAATGAAGCGGCTGGGAGTTGCGACGAAAATAGCTCAGATCGTCTTTAGGTATAAAATATGTATTATAATATGGAGAACTGATGCAATGCGTTATCAGTAGCCGGCTTTGTTGCTTAGTGGTAAGAATTGCTTAGCTATGAAGGTAGCCTTTAGTTGAAATTGGTACTGAGTAATGTATAAAAGTGCTCTAACCAGAGGCAAGCGAATGACAGAGGGGAACCGGGACTCAGGATGATGGGCTCCTGAAGGCAGATGCCAGTTCATAAGAAAGGCCAGCGCAGGGATATCACTCTTTTATGCTCTCTGATTTTCGTGTTTTATGAACTGGATGTGATGTAGTGGCAAACGAGGCACTATCACGCATGCATGGTCCGGAGATCGAATTATGGCCCGACATTAGCCCAATCTAACCGAGCTCGTTCTACCGAGACTTCTTCCTTCATCCTTCTTTGGCTTGATACCGAAGTGTTCTTCTTTTTTCCTCAACGCAGTGTAATGCTGTCATTTTCAGTGGATGTACATTGTTCCTGTCGTGGTATTCGTTGTGATTTCGAATGCAATGACGCCAGATAGCGGAGGAGAAGGATAGGAAAGTTTCGTAGATATGAACTCGGGCATTCAATGCTTTACCTATATGATGGTGATTGTAAAATAACTGCTCAATTCGCCCAATATGTACTAAAATTGTTGGATCATCTGACTATTTCTTATTTGTTGATGTGACCGTTATTTGTTCATTCCCGAAAAATTCGAGTACATTGTGTTTGAGTGCGAGATTGTTTCAGTAATTGCTTGAAACTTATCTATTCAGAAGAAGTGTTCAATGAAGTTATTGTTTGCATTTGTTTTTGTGAATTTGTTTTGGTTTATTCCATTCTATTCTACTTGCTTTTCTACTGAGTTCGTATCGTTTTTATTAAAATTTGTCCAGGGGTGTACAGTTTGTATGTAGGCAGTGTCGTTGCGCCGTTGATTTGAAATCAGCTAATATTCAATCCATCTAGAATGGAAATTAGTGATCGCAGTGATTTAATTTCGTGAACCCTGTGAAATTAAGGTAATGCGTTTCCTGGCCCGAACCATGACGCTCGGCTCGAGCATTATGCGAGGGACATCTCTTCGATACTGTTCCACGGCTGGATCGTCTAGTGCAAGTACAGAAGCGGCAGAATCTTCCGATGTATTCGACGATTTCGTGGACAGTCTTGGACGTGACGTGACGGATATGAACAGAGTAAGGTCTTGCATATTCTAACAAGAAAGTTCCCTTCATTCCTTGAGTTCAGTGGACATACTGTGGGCAGTTGGGAGCGCCTACCAGAAAACTGTAGGTGCCTGTACGCGACCACCCAGTAGCCGTCAGTACAGTTTCTTACTACTTTCGAAAGCTTGCTGTACTAGTGAACTATGACGACGGGTGTTTTTTTTCTGTCCAGCTCGACTGTTCCATGTTTCAATATAAGAACATGGCCCCCATCTCTGTACTGTTTCTGGAAAACCCCTCGCCGCTGACAAGTGCCATATCCTGATACCTAGATTTTATGAATTCATTGTGCCATTGTTCAATTTATGAGAGGAAACCGCGGTGAAAATGTAGTTGGGGGGGGGCCACCTATCACAATGTCGGTATATCAAGAAATGAACTCAATGAAACGCGTTATGTCGTGTTTTATCACGGACATGCCTGTTTTTGAATAAGGGCTCTCGTAGGGAGGGAGCAGCGCGGTGGGCAAGTTTTCTTTCTTTTTTCCTTTTTTTCTGCAGGAGGTAATCATCCCAGCCACCCAGGCGCTCCTACCCTACCTAGGCTTATTTGGGAAACTGAATTTCCTCAGCGGAAACCGCATAAAAGAGCTAAGCTGGTCGAT